TCGTCGACTTGCACGCATGCAATGCCAACACTCGCAAGGTGTCAGCACCTCTCCCGAGCATTGAAGGGATCCTGCGTCGTGTTGCGAAGTGCAAATATCGAAGCATTATTGACAGCAAGGATGCCTATGAGCAAATCCGAGTTGTTCCTGAGCATGTTGATAGAACTATGGTTACAACGCCTGACGGAAATATGGTCAGTCTCGTTCTCCAGCAGGGTGATTGTAACGCACCTGCAATGTACCAAGCGCTGATGAACCATATCTTCTTGCCCTACATAGGTGTCTTCATGGAGGTATACCTAGATGATGTTATTATCTATTCCAACACAATTGAGGACCACGTTAAGCATGTTAAATGCATTATTGATGTCTTGAAGTGAGAGCAACTATACTTGAGTGCTTCGAAACTGAATTTCTTGCCAAAGGAAATGAAAGTACTCGGTCGTATTATTGATGATAATGGTATACATATGGATCCCGACAAGGTGGACTCTGTAATCAACTGGAAGACTCCTACATCAAAAGGATTATTGTCAGGATTTCTCGGAAGCATAGGATATCTCACAGATGACTTACCTCGCATCTGTGGCCCTATGGGAATCCTCCATGGCCTCACAGGCTCGACGGTCCCATTCCATTGGTCCTACACTGAACAGTGAGCCTTTGATGAGATCAAGGAAATCGTTGAGCATCATCGTAACCACAGCCGAGTGCCATTAGACTACTCACCTGAGCACAAACCCGTCTGGATGGTCACCGATGCGAGCTCCGCCAGCATCACAGGCTACGTCGCACAAGGAGATGAGTGGCAGAAGGCCAAAGTTGCAGCCTTCTACTCAGCGAAGCTTAGTTCGGCACAACAGAACTATGCAGTTCACGAACTGGAGATGTTAGCAGGTCTTGAGACGATGTTGCGTCATCGGGATATCCTACAGGGAGTTCATTTCACTTGGATAATGGATCATAAGGGGTTGATTCACCTTATGAAGCAGAAAGACCTAACAGGAAGGCAAGCACGTTGGTTAGAAAAGATGAGCACGTTCAATTTCGAGATAGTATACGTACCTGGTGAATCCAATGTCCTCTTGGATGCTCTCTCATGCATATACACCAACGACGCCCCTGGTACTGTCTGCGCACGCTCGGAATACACTGATCATGATGATAATGTCAGTATGGACCATCTAAACAGTCATGGAATTACCATACCATTGCTGGCAGGTCTGGAAGCCTTTGCAGCACGTACAACTCGTTCCAGGGCACTCCCTAAACGATCCAACGCTGACACTGGGCATCCAGAAATGTCCTCTGAGTTCGCAAAGAGGATGAAAGGCCATGTACATGTTGTCGGCCCTAGACGCGCACAGGAGGGTGGGAGTACCGAAGATTTGACCTCATCGTCATCCACTACGATCCACAGTAGTCCTAAATGAGCTAATGAACCAAAAACACGGTCAGGAAGCAATGGAAAAGAGCAGGAAAAGCTCACCATCAAGATCCCTGCAAGGCCAAGCCCTAGCAGCATGGGGACAGCCCAGAGCTCCAATCCACCACTTGTAGGACCTTCAGCAAAGGTCTACAGAGGCCCTAGGACAGATGAGGAGCCTGAACGAAATCAGGATGGCAGTGGATCTCGAGAGCAAGAGGGAATCAATGCAGAAAGTGCCAGCAAAGTAAATTCCCATGATCCGGAAATTTCCCGTGCTGACCCAGACTTGACTGGGGCAACATTGCTCAATTCCATTACCTCGCTCAATGGCCTTGACTTCGAAAAAGCTATTCAACATCGCTATTCTGATGATCCTCTCTTCAAAAGAGTAGTAGAAAACCCGGAACACTTCGCAAACTTCGAGTGGAACCAGGATACAGGCCTTTTGTACCTCAAGAAGGATGATGATAGACTTCTCTGCATACCTCGCATCCTTGTAAATGGTCGTACAGCTCAAGAAATCATTATTTCGGAAGCTCATTCAATTCTAGCTCACCTTGGGGCAAGCAAAACATTGGATTACCTTCGCCAGAGTGTGTGGTGGAAGGATATGGTTTCGGATGTGAAATCGTATTGTGAGTCTTGTCGTACTTGTAAGATGAGCAAGCCTAACAACCAGAAGCCTTACGGCTTGCTGCACCCTCTCAAGGTTCCGTCGTATCCCTGGGAGGCTATTGGAATTGATTTTGTTGGGCTGTTACCGGATTCTAAAAATCGCGATGGTACATTTGACTCAATAACTGTTATTATTGACCTATTTACCTCAATGGTACACCTTGTTCCCTGCTGTACAACCTACACTGCCCGCCAAGTGGCTGAACTGATGTTTGAGCATGTCTACAAGCACCACAGAATGCCATGACAGATTATAAGTGACCATGACTCACTGTTCACTAGCATCTTTTGGAAGAGGCTACATGAGCTTACAGGTACTCAGCTGAATATGTCCAGTGCGTATCACCCTCAGAGTGATGGCTCTACGGAACGGGCTAATCGTACCATTACCCAGATGTTACGGCAATGTGTTGACTCCACTCAGAAGGATTGGGTGTCAAAACTGCCAGCTATTGAGTTAGCGATGAACTGCGGCAGGTCTGAGACAACAGGATATGCCCCGTTCATGCTCAATACTGGACACATACCCCGATCCATGATATGGAACTCGAATACGAAGAATGAGTATCCCTCCGTCCGAACGTTTGCTCGATTGCGGCATTTAGCTATCATGTCAGCTCACGATGCAATTCTTGAAACTCGGGTGAAGCAAACTCGTATCGCAAATCAGAAATGACATTTCAAACCTTTCCATGAAGGTGATCTGGTATATGTATCCACCCAGAATTTGAAGTTTGCTAAAGGTCTAGCTCGCAAATTAATTCCAAAGTATATCAGGCCCTACAAAATTTCAAGGGACTTCGGAAATCACTCATTCCGTGTAGAGCTGCCTTCGAGCTTCATCCAGAGAGGAGTACATCCAGTATTCCACTCCTCCTTGCTTCGGATTCATGTTCCTAATGATGATCGCAGATTTCCAGGACGTCTTGATACTCAAATCCAAGAGACTCCAGAAGCAGAACCTCAGTGGAAAATTGAACAGATTCTATCGCATCACGGCGCTAAAGATCATGCCGTATTTGAAGTTAAATGGACTACTGGTGATATTACGTGGATGCCCTACGACCAGCTCGTCGGACTTGGCAGTCTTGCTGACTATCTTGACTTGCTAGGTTGTGCATCCATTGGTAACCTACCGATGGGGCGTTCACCACTCCCATCAGATCCAGAACAGTACAGGATTTCTGTGAGCTCCATCACATTTGATTTTGAGTCTCCTAGGAGGATAGAAAAGGGTACGCAAAGTTGTGTGAATTTCCCCACACCTGTGCTCCTGCTTCCCCATCATTTCCCACTACACTATTCTCCCTCTAGGTCCATCACCACTGCATTCCCACTGTCCATGCCCAGTGAACATAGACCCCGTGGCAAGAAGGGCTGCAAACCCCCTGCTTACCTCCGTCCCTTGCTCACTACCACTCCCACTCTGGCAATTCCGCTCCCACCAAGGGCATTCACTGTCTGCAAAAATCGCAAATGGTTTGATGTTCATGAAGCCCCAGGCTCTGGTTCTTTTGGAGGCCTTGTTTCTCAGGTTCATGCTATGCACATGCTCAAATGCATTGAGCACAACAACCTTCTCCGACGTACTCATGCCAAGGATGGCATTTTGGAGTGCAGACAGATCTGCTCTGAACCCATTGCTTATGATGCAATCACTGCCTCATTCAATGCGGGTTCTCAGACCGAAAAATTCATTGAATGGGTCAAGCCCAGTCCCACCAATCCTAATGGACCTAAGGGCTACACCCTCGCACATCTCAATTCCCCATCTCCTACCAGCAAAGAGCTTCACATCGACATGAAGTTCCTTTTCGACCCTCGCCAGCTCAATATCCCTGGATATGTTATTGTTCCTGAATGCAAGTACAACAAGACTCGGTTCCTCGGCCATCAGATGCTCTTCCAGCATGAGACTGCCAAGGAAAAAGCTATCCAGTGTCATCTTAATAAGAAGGCTGGATTAATGTGGGATGAAGATTTCGAGGATCACTATGCTGCTGCAGGAGACTCGCTGGAGGGATTCCTCTCAGATGATCTCCCCGAGTTCATTGAGGGCAGCGCAGGATCAATCGATGCAGATGGAGACCTGGATCCTGATCACAGAAAGAGCATTGATACCGACAAGGATGGTTTGCTCTACTACATTGATAAGGAGGGCGACAAAACGGATGCAAATGGAGATTCCACCATGAGGACTGCCCGCAATTGATTTCGTGATGTCCTTTTACTTTATACATCCTTTCATTAACTTTCCTTGCTTCATTCAAAGATATTACACTCGTTTATTTCTTACTCTACCTATAGTGCCCAACTTCGTTGGACAGGAGGGCATATGTAACGAGCCAGCCTTTGGCCCAGTCCTTACCCTTCATTTCTCCCCCTTGTTGTCGCTCCACATGCTCCACCGTTCTTGACGCATTCGATAGGATCTATTTGATATTAGCTAGTAGTATATAAGAGCTACGTACTGCTGTAGTAGCTTGGGTTTTTCGCAATGACCAGCCTTTACACCTGTCACACACTGCGTGAAACTCCTTCGTGAGAGTACATGACTTTCGCCACCCTCTCAAGTGCCCCAGGTATGTGACAGGTGGTCATTCAATGCTGTCTGTCTTCACTCACTGTTCCTCAGACCATCACACAGCTGCTAAGGGATCGATCACTCAACTACAAACAGATTGACTCAGGTGCGTGCTATTGCAGACATCAATATGGGTTGTTCAAGTGACTGGTATCAGGCCACTGATAATCACCTGTTTGAGGATACCATTACACCAACAGACAGGAATGAACAACAGACAGGATTGACCATGAGTGTTGCCAATGGTTGTTAGGCACCTTCTGAGCAGCAGGATAACAGTTGGGTGTGGCTGCAATACAGTTTACATTTGAAATGCGGGAATCGACTCTGAACCTACAAAAACAAGAGCAGAGCCCTGGCCTAGAGCCTGTTGATGACCTAGTTGTTCCCTCTGTGGACACTTCATTTGAAATTGTTCCAGTTCAAGACTTGATGAATGGTTTGCAATGGGCAGGTTCATTCAAAGAGAGTGGAAGGGGTGGGAGTGAATCTGGTATGGAGTGAACTGGGATTGTCAACACAGCGCACTGATTCATTTCATTGTTTCCAGAGAACATGAGCTCGTGGCATGTAAGGATAATGGTCATTCCCCACCATTCCCTGAAGCAGCTTCAAACAACAGCAGAGCTTTCACAGATTGAGTATGACAGCTCATTGTATGGGATGCTCTTGGGACATACCTCCAATGCAAAGAACTGTGGAACAGGGACTTTTAAGATTGCTTGGAAGGATATTTTGGAGGTCCCCAACGGTGGTAACATTGTGCCAGCATGTTTACAGGGTCCAGTGTGTTACAAATGCCCATTTGTGAAGGGATCGGAGGACAAAATTGAACCCACCTCATCTGGCACATACAAAAGGTTCCCAAAGGTTATGGAGATGAAGGTGATTGAGAAGGAGGTGATGTGTTCTCTCTGGTGCAATGCAATCTTAAAGTTTTCCTATATCTGGATGCTGTTTGTATGGCACATCCAATATGACAAACTTTATTGGAAGGTTTTCATCTCTGACTTCCAGGGTGAGTGCAACATTAGTATGGTCACACCATATGGAACTGATGTTGTTGCAAAGGAGTGGGCCTGGTTTTGACAGATTCACAGGTTATGATGAGTCCTGAGTGAGTCCATGAATGATTGTCACATGAGAGGCTAACGTAGATGCAGATTGGGTGACAATGACATGTTTGGGGAGGGCAACTTGCTCAAGGCTTTCAGTCACTTTCCAAATGATCACAAATGTAACAAGTGGTGTGATTGGTTTGGCTTAAAAGAGCTAGGAGAAGAACTACATTGCACTGGAGGTGAAGGAGGCACAGAATAAATTCTTTTTCAAACATGTTAACTAGTGTATTTAATATATGTGCTTAGAACAATCAAAGGGCTGCTTAAGTGTGGCTTAACTTTGTATTTGGTGGAGCCCAAATTGTGTGTCATAATGGGAAAGATCAATGTGAGTGGGTTGAGTGAACAGTGGAAAGTGCTGGGATTGGCCAACTAGTGAAAAATAGTAAGGTGTGACAACTAATTCTGTGACCATGATTCTGAGCTTGGAATCACAGTCATAGGATTGGTAATCAGTTATAGTCACATATGATGGAAACAGATGATTGTGTCCATATGTGTAAATAGGCCTTTAAAGCTTGTGTTATGGGAATGGCAGAACAGACAATGGCAATGTGATGCCTGAGCAACTTATGCAGGGACTAGGATCCTCCTAGTGCAGTTACAAGGATCGAGGTCTTCAAAGAACATTTCAGCATGACACTTAGGTGAAGACCAGATTCTTACAAGTGTCTTCTGTTCAGGCCATGGTAATACAATGTGGCACAGCACTCTCTCACTCTCCCAAACACTCTCGTACCAGGCAGGTAAGCTTGTATGATGGCTCTCTCATTCACTCTCTTTGTCCTGTTCTCACACGGGTGTAGTTTTGTCTGTTGCCCTCCCTGCCTTCATTAGTGGGTCTCTCTTGGAGCAACTTTGACCTTTGTCATACAAGTCATTGGACCTTTCATATGGGACAGATTGCTCTCTACTACAGGCACATGTACACTTTTCATGGATTTCCCTCATGTAGTATCTACTGTCTAAGACACTAGGTAGATGATAATCAATGTTTTGGGACATTTCCAGAGAACTGATTTTGGCTACTAGCACAGTTCTAAGCTGCTGCAGCAATTGAAGTATCCTAAGGCCCAACAAGGCCTGTGATAGGCTGCAATGGAGGGGTCGGTTGCAGCTGTGAAGATAGAAACCCAGTTTTGAAGGAATATGTAATATACTGTTGTAGTTCTGTACAGTCATGAGATGGCTGCATTTTCACATGTGCTGGGACAATGCTATGTTCTATTTACTTATGCAATCTCACATGTCTTGTTAGTTTAATGGTCATCTCTGCTGATGTGGCATATGATGTCTGTCCAAGACAATTTATAAACCTTCTTTTAGCTGGTTCAAATACCACTCCACACTATTATGTTTTTCAAGTTGCTGAAAACTTTTTGGTTTTCACCTTCTCTGGTAGGATCAATTGTGGATCTGTTACTGAACTTAGACAGCCCCATATACCTGCAGTGACTTTTCACTAGCTGTCATATGATGCTAAGTTTCCTAGATGAAAAACTCTCAGAGGTAAAATTCCAGTTACAAACTGATAATTTACTAAACTGGCATATCAAACCCTAATCTTAGATTCTGTAAGGGATAAGCATGTGTCTTACATAAGTTACAATTTTATGATTGTCTTATGTTTATATGCATACTCCTAAGACATAAGTGCATTATCTTTATATGATTAGTTAATCTGGTTCCTGTAACGAGCATGCTGACGGAAACCCGACTTCCACTCAACCTAACAAACCACAGCCTGGAAACCTATGGATTCTGATTCCCAGTTTCTATTTCATATTCTATTTCATATTCTTTTTATATTTCACTTTTCCATTACAATTTATCAATAGTCTGACATCGGTGGCGAACATGTCATCGGACCCCATCAGCTACCGACCAGTAGAATACATCCTCTGACAACCCTAAAATGTAGACCACTCTGAGTAGGAACTAGATCAGACTCCTAACTAGTATATAAGCCTTAGAATTACACTGTAGATACTCAGTTCAAATATCAACTTGGTTCAGCCCAATCTCTCTCTCTGACTCATAGTCAACTCTTGTCCTCCAGTCCATGTCACTCTGATCTGATGGACTTATCTCCCAATTCTTCCCTATTGTTCCTCAGACTTCTGTCCATACTCATCTTAGGGCTTTGGCTCAGGAGTGATGTTGCTAATAGCTTTGCTTATGCCCGACGCATTCCACAGCATTCTGCTATGTGCACTTACTGCCACAAATCCTATTGGCACAATCCTAACAGTTCTATTGAATTGAGCAGTGAGTTCTGTAGCAATGCACTTCCCTAGGTCCAATTACTATAGATGGCATTTTTGAAATTCGGAATGATATATGTCTGAGGTGTGACTGTTAGGCTTTCTCTATGGGTTAACTTGCCACCCATGGTGCAAGTACTTGATACTTACATGAGTACTTATGAGTACTTACTGACTATATACATATATATACAGTGAATGACAGTGATGATGATGTTGGCAGCATGTGGAATGATGGAATGGGGGGTCATGCTTAGGATCATCTGGAAGGTATTGAAGAGGGCTTTCCAATGCTCCAACAGTGAAGGAAAATGGTGAAGACATGACTAAGATATGGGGAAAACAAAATGATGGCTAAATTGGACAGTGATAGGAATGATAAGGGAGCAGTGTCTTGAGATGATAATGGATAAGGGAGATTAAAAAGTTGTCAGAACATATCAAAAAAGAGCTTTAAGACAATATCAGACATGTAGGGAAGCACCCAACTGAGCCTAAGATAACTTGAAGATGTGTTACGGTTTATTCTTTTCTTTTCTTTTCTTTTCCTTTCTTACGTGTTCACGCTTATGCTATGGTGCGATTCCTATTGGACATTCTCACGGTACTATTCTTAGGTTACCAAACGTGTATTTAAGTAGAGCCTCAGCTGGTCTAAACCCCAGCTTCGGCTAAGGTTTAATCTACCTAACATCGAACTCCGTGTTTCGTGACTATCTAAGTTCGCGGCTGGCTCTCTTCCTTCGCCTTTGACCCCTCTTGTATCGTCCACCGAAGTGCGAGTGGCGATCTTGAGTTGATCTAAGTCGATAAGAGTTAGTGGCTAACATTTAGCTGAAGCTCGACATACGTTGCTCAGCGCCACGTCCGAGAACGAATGCTGCCCAACCTCTTGAAGACATTCCCACTTGAACCAACGGTTATACTGTTGCTCAATCTCGTTCCTTTTTGCGATACCAAGCGGTTATACTGCTGATCGTAACAAAGCGAACTCTTACCGACGAACCGATCCCCAATCGCTTGACCAGAAGAGGTCACTGCCGTGCGTTCGAAAGGACAACCTCGTGGTTGTTAGCATATTGCAGGTGGACCAACGGAAAAGCGCTCCCTACAAAATTCATCCGATACACTTCATTGTCGCAGTAGTCCTTTGGGTTACGCCCTTTGACCTACTGCTTCAAGCCGCCGTCATCGCCTGGATCATTCCCTACATCATTAACGACCCAATCTTCGCAGTCTTAGTGACTGTTCTTCTTACCCTTACGCTCATTCGAGTCTGTATCGCCGCACCACTCCTAGCGGGACTGCTAGTAGCTCTGTACGGTGCATACGTTCCTCTTGTCTGAGACAACACAAAGCCCTTCCCTATAGCCCTAAAGTCAGCATCATTGTTAGCAGTCATACTGTTAGCCTTGACTGACCCCTCTTTTGACGACGATACACCATTGATGACCGGCTCCAACTACGAAGCCGACCTCAACCTAATTATCGTGACCCTTGCCACCCTGACCATTCTCGCCCTAACCGTCGTATGGTCCATCCTTACCATAGGCAATTCAGGAAAATAAGCCTGCGAACGGATGCCCTTGTCCGACGCCATTCCCGTAATCTCCGCCGTTTTTATTCTCTTTTTCTTGTCCATCTCCTTGTACCAGATCCACCGGTGCTGTCGCCAGCAGAGACGAGTGCGTGCACAGCTACCGTTCCACTACGTACCTGCAACCCCGGCCTATCCGCCACCAATAATCTTCATCCCTGCGGCCTCGCAACAAACCCTTCACGATGGCCGACCCATCACACCCAGAGGACCTGGAGGGTCCCTTTACACCTCGTCGCGATCCAGCTCGCGATCCTCAGAGTCGAGCACCGACTCCTACAGAAGCGACACCGCAGAGTCCGACGACTCCGTCGACATCACAGATACCCAGGGGGTACTCCTCGACCGAGGAGACTCGCCCCTACCAGGTCTCTTCGACGTCTCTCCAATTGAAGGCAAGTCAAGCACCGACGGAGCCAGAAGACAAGGCACCAGGCATCTGGTCGCGGGCGAAGAAAGCCCTGATACTGAGTACGAGGGCGACGAGCTCACCGACCTCGAAAGGGTCAGACTCGAAACCATCCTCAACGACCTCTACCCGGACGAGGAGGAAGATGCCACCTATACCGGAGACAGCTGGAGCGGGCGCTCTCAGCACGCATGGACAGACGCAGAGTGGGGAAGCGAGAAAAGAAGATATGGGAAGGGAAAGGCCCGAGATGACTTCGATGCAGATTCCGGAGAGCTTGGCCTCGGAGCCTCCGCGGCTACCACCCGTCCAATTGACCCACACTTTGTTCCAGAGTCCTGGCCAATCCATAGGGGCCCACCAGTCGCCTGGTACCCTCACTCCAGTTGGATCTACGCAGAGCCAGGGGAAAAGGCTACTGTGGCCAGAGACCCGACCGAGTCAGAGTCCGACCAGGTCTCTGAAAGGACCGAGACCCCTCTGCTCACTCCCCCCGTCTCCGCGCATGAGCCGACAGATGGGGAGCTTTGGAGCGAGTACCCCGACTACGATGCAGAGGAACTTGGAACAGTTACCGTTTCCGAGCGACTCACCGGAGTCTCCAATTGGGAGCCGTCGGTCCCATCGAGAGCCTTCGCCGACCCCGTCCCTCTCTCTCAGCATCCGTGGCCGCTCCTTTACCACACGTACATCGAGTCCCTCGGAGTCCCTCGAGCTGCCAGGGAGTCCCCAGAGATCGAGGCCAGAATGGAGCGAGGAAGAGCGCATGATGCACGCATCCGTAGAGCAGAAGAAGACGCCCTCCAAGGACCCGGAGGATGGTGGGACTTACCCCTCGAGCCCGACGCCACTAACGCTGAGGTCGAGAACAGGATACGCGCCGCCGCCGTCCGATATACCGGGGCCGCCCGTCGAGCAGGCACCGACTT